ATCGATTCGTATTAATGGTGGTAATTACACATGGGGTAAAACGCAAAGACCAACCAAACAGCACCATGTTCACCTGAGATTAATCCAGGCCAACTCTCGGTATTCACGGTTTTAATCACTCGGCCATAGGTCGGGATTCGACTAAGGGAATGCCTTTGTGCCATATTTACACTTATCATCATGAAAACGCCTGAGTATGAAACCAGATTGAGTATGAAACCAAACTCATCGTTGTTTCTTCGAAGCCTTCATATTCATAACATGTTATAGATTTTACTTCAATAATAATTATTCCAATTTAAAATTTTCTCGAAGATTTTAAAAGCCTTACTTCATAATTTTCATCGATTTGCTTTGCAATAATAATCTAATCAATCCAAATTCCTTTTTCTTTAGCTTCGAGATTAAAGCAGCATAAACACGTAGCTGATACTGTATTACGTATAGAGGGAATGTATTCATTACAGAAAGTTTTGAAATAACTTGTATTGGTGCCAGGAATTATTTAAGAGTCACAAATATCAGGCTATTGCCAAAAAAAAAATCAAGTTACTTAATAATATATTACTAAACCCGTCTAAAATAAAATTTTATGTCTAAGCGGCTGTTAACTCAAAACATCTAGAATATGTATGAAGTTTGGCTTACCATATGACACTTACAAGCCTCTTTCTGTGACTGACTATATTACATAATTATTTTCAAAATGTAATCAAATTTCTTCGATACCCTAGATCATTTTAGCAGGGCAAACTTTCTGATTAATTTTATATTACATAGCAACTGAGACAATAAAAAGTAAAATGCGCCGGGTTCGCTGTCAGTCAAAATTTGAATAGAGTTCGAAGGATAACTTCCATATATGCTTTGCTTCCATTAAGTAGTCCAATCTAAATCAATGAATATTATGCTACATAATCATTTTGATGTCTACAAATACAATCTTTTCATCTATACTTGTAAACACCTTAAGAAATTTAACTATTTTAATCATCTCTTTCTGAAAACATTCTTACGTAAACGTAAAGTATTAACGGACTTATGATATTATAAAATGGATTAATCTTAATGTTTAAGAGTAATCCATTTTATAAAATAATCATTACTCCTCCCCTCCTCTAAAAAGAGGAATTCATAAACATTTAATATGAATTTTCTAGTTTATTCGTTCACTCATTTGCCGCATGGTTAAAAACTTACCATCGATTTTTATCTACTTTCTGATAAGCTATCGAGTTTAAAATTTGTACGCACTCAATTTGTGGATGATAATACAATGTGATGAAGCGAATTTTTCAAAATTCGAGTTATATTTTTTAATTTAATGTTAATATGATTTTTTTGCTCAAGTCTTCATTTAACAAATGTTTCAGAAATTTACTATATTTGCACTATCGGACAGAGGGCCAAAAAAAAAAAAAAAAAAATATTTTACCTGAAATTACGTGCTTCGCCCTTAGGCACTACACGGGCCTAAGGGCAGAGCTCTTTTTGAGGGAAACTGGCTCATATCCACGTTATACATGCGGAAAAACACGAAAAAGCCCATGTAGCCAGCCCATTCGCCGGGATTCGAACCTTGGACCAGTGTTCAGCTGCTTTTACCATTTGGGTGGGCTTTAAATGAAATTTGTATTAAGTTTTGACATCATTTCTGATTTCTTTTTCAAAAATTTTCGAAATTTTCTCAATTTTGTCGACTATTTGACTTTATCACTTTTTAAATTTCGGCATATAATAATGAATCGGTTATAAAAATTTTGAAATTTTCCCAGCTTGTAAAACCCATTTATCGCCCATTTTTAAAACAAGAATAATAAAAAAAGTAATAATTTGAGGATTTTCTCTACATTTTTATTTAAATATGCTACAATATCAAATAAAAGTGGTTTGTACTATTTCTTCAGTTTCAAGGTTATGATGATATTACTTTCTTCCATCACACTCCTTAATCTCAAAAATAAAAGTATTGATTCACGGTTAAAATTAACTGCAATGAAATCTACGACTTGACTTTAAAAATATTTTTATTTAGCAAATTTATACATTTTTTTTCTCACTACTTCATTTTAAAAATATTTTTATTTAGCAAATTTATACATTTTTTTCTCACTACTTCATTTTAAAAATTGATTTTTTCTTACTTTTATTCTGGTACGTTAATAATATGCTCTTTTGTAAGATTTTAAAATTCTTACATCCAAAAATGCATAAATAGTCGAAATTTTCAGAGGTTATAAAATACATTTTTCACCCACTTTTAAAATAAAAATGATAAAAAATATCACTTAGGCATCTTTCTAGAATTTTTTTAAAAATTAGCTGAGCAGTTATAAGCTTTCTTTCCTTTTCTTTGGTGTTTTTCACTATGGTGAAAACTTTACTACCCATTTTTATGCTATTCCCTATTAGTTACAGAGCTCAGATTTTGCACAGACACTCGTGGATGACAGTACAGTGTCATCCACGAGTTATGTTTTCGAAATTTAATTAACATTTTGTTTTTAAATTTAATCCTGAAACGCCTTCTTGCACACATCTTCGTTTAGTGAGCAAGCTAAAACTCTTAGAATTTTACTGTTTGCACCGCCGGATAAAACGAAAAAAATCCTTTCAATGAATTTGATATGAAAATTTTAACTCAATTTCTAGGTTTTCGGCAAAATTCTTTGATTTGTTAAACAATTTGACATAGCAGAATTGTTAGAAGCAAAAGTGCGATTATTCATTGTTGAAGAGTGAATTTTATTGGTAAAATGTCGTAGAGACGCAAAGAATGAAAACTTAAAAAATGTTTTCCTAAAAAATGCTTTTCCTTAAAGCTCTAAGAACTGCTACTGAACTATTTACTAATCTTTTTCGTCTCTACCAACTTCATCTCAGTGTCGACAAAATAGACCTCTTCCCACTAGTATATGTTGTTCGTACGATGGAAGTTTAATCAAGCTTTTAGTTAATATTTAAATATCTTTGGAAACAACTTTAAAAATTAAAGATGCAACAAAGCAGAAGAACACATACAAGATAGCGCTGGAAGCAGTGATCATTCCTTCTTGTAGGTTTTTAGCGGATCGCAAAAAGATTGATACTTTTATATATCTTATTGAACAATTAAATATGTATAATATTTAATTTTGAAAAGCTAATTTCAAATGTTACTCTTTTGCAATGTTATTTTAGATTATTAGAGTTTTTTGTTTTTGGATTATGATATAATATTACTGAAAAACATTTTATTTTGCTATTCGGAGAGGGATAAATTGTCTGAAAGACTGAATTTTCACTATTATATGTATGTACACACACATACTTATGTATATATATATTTAACGAAGGATTAATCCAAATTACGAATACAATTTTAACAGTAATATAGATTTATTTATAGTTTATTTTTTTAACAGTAATATAGATATTTCAGCATCATTTTACACTATCGAATATCTTATACGAGGGCAATCCCAAAAAAAAAAAGGTCTCCTATTTTTTGGGGACGTAGAGAAAGTTTTAATACGGTTGTTGGCAACACTGTTGTGAGTGGTGCCTTCTCCGCTACCACATAAACACACAGGCGCTTCGCTGGGATGTTCAGTCTTGGCTTGGCAGCCATTCGAAATGGAGCTCCCGATAAACGTTACCGCCAAAGTGCGAAGTGCGCCCAGTTATTCAATTTTTGAACGCAAAAGGCGTTAAACCGGTTGAAATTCACCGCCTGTTGGCAGAAGTGTATGGACAGTCGTGCATGGATGTCAAAAACGTTCGCAAGTGGTGTAGAGAGTTTACAGCCGGTCGTACTGAAATTCATGACGAAGAAAGGAGCGGGAGGCCGTCAATTGCCGACGAGACAATCGCGAAAGTTGAGAGAAGTTCGTATTCGTTGAGTTTCGCGATTGTTGAGTTCATAAAATGCGTAAAGATCGGAGGATCATCTGGATGCTCCTGAAGCTCCTCAACACTTCCTGAAGGGCATGGCGGCAAGCTGGTATGACATGGACATTGTAAAACTGCCACAGCGTCTACAAAAATGCATCGACCGAAATGGCGATTATGTTGAAAAATAAAGCATTCTGCAATCTTTAAAGTAATTGTAGCAATTATAGAAAATAAACGGTTCTTTGTATATCTAAAAATCTAGGAGACCTTTTTTGGGGGGGGATTGCCCTCGTATCTTTTTACCGGCATATCGCAACTATTTGCAGGTTATTTCCAATAAATTGCAACTATCTGCAGATAGATCGTGATAAGTTGCAACTATCTACAGCTGGACTGCTATAAATGATATGCAACTGCTGCCAGTATATGATACAATGATTTGGGGAATATATTGATTTATAGAAATTATAGGCTATATCTGCATAAAGCTATCGAAGCAATGTCCGATTTCTGTGCACCATAAAATTAAACATAAAAAAACACTCTTTCGTTGTGTGTCTCCTTGTACTTTTACAGAAGCGTGCTTTATAAAAGTTTTGTAAAGATTTGAGGGGGGTATCATATACAAATTCTGCTATACGTATGTTGAGTTTTTGAGTGAGAATTTTTAAATCACCAGAAAACCGTTAATTTAGAACCACTGGTTTCATATTACTTTTCATAGACAAAAGTTCGACAATTTTATAAGCTCCAATTTAAGATTCTGTGAACTGGTAATTTTCCTATAATAATTTTATCCGAGTGAGGGAACACTTATTACCTGGAATATTTAACATACGGAGTCTGTACGAGTTTCTGACTCTCGAAATCTTCATTAAAAAGAATCATATGACGAACAGTATCGCCTTCCGAAAATCTACCATATTTTATTCATTCAAAACACACACACATATATATATTCATTTTTGCTATCCTTTCGAGATATTTTCTATGCCAGTAATTTAAGTTTCTTTAACAAAATAATTCATTATTTCGTATGAAAATTGACTTATTTTATATATTTTTACCTTCTTTTTCTTTCTTTCTGCACAAATTTCCAAACTATTATATATATTAGAAATGCTTACACTGGACCGGGACAATTAGTAGGCGGTTCCAGGCGCCCTCCAGACGTCACTAATTGCATGACTTCCTGGTTACCTCGTCCGGGGTAGGGCATGTATCCGAGAGATATCACCTCCCACAACAACACCCCGAAAGACCTAGAATGTAAATGAATACATAGCATTTTCTTAACAATCTATTTCAGTTTAAGTTTCTAATTTCCAATTCTGAGTCTTCTAAAATTTCGTTAGCATTGTGGCCGAAACAGACACTGACAATTGTTACTTTAGGCTATAATTTTAGAATTTAATTTATTGAATTAAATTATAAATTGCGTAGCGCCACCGTCTCGTTAACTTACCACACGTCCGTTTTTGAAGTGAAGATTCCATCAAGAAAAGCTTCTGGGGGCATCCACTTCACCGGAAGCATGGCTTTACCACCTTTCCTGTAGTAGTCAGCTCTGCAGAAATATAAATATCTTGTTTCCCAAAGATTGTTTAGATCAGAAATGTATATTTTGCAAGACAGAACATTAAAAATTACATTACTGATTACTACATACATATTAATATTAATAAATGGCTTTAAATGATATCCCTTCATAGTTTACAATCATTAGTTGAAGACAAAATTAAAAACAACGTATTGAGTACAGAGCTTTCTGAAGATTTAAATCTCATTTATAGAGAAAAGGGATTTAAACCATACACTGCCCATTAAGATTTTAACCATACACTGCCCATTAAGAAGTATACATTGGAAAGAATTCGTTAATCACATATAGCGGAAACAAATGAAATAATGGATATGTAGTAAAAATAGGTATTTTAAAGTATTTAAAACGAATTAAAGTTTAGATACATGGGGGCAAAATGTAAAAAGAAAGTTATTATCCTCTACTGTCTTCAAAAAGGTGTTCAGATATTTCTTCTTCAAAGTATACATGGCTGTTTAATATTTCACTCGTGAAAACACAAGCAAGGTATGAACAAAAGTACTCGAAATTTTAAAATTTAAATATACACTAACTGCTGATATTCGCTCTGAATAACATGCGTTCAGAAAATATAAGTAGTATACATATTAATATATTTTTCATTCAAATAAGGTTTTATACTGGTAATACAAACAGTGTGATTTGTGCAAACGTTTTCAGCTTTGATTGAATTTTAACAATCTGAAATTTTGGCAATAGTATAGAAATAGCTGTATGCCTAATTGTATAGCTGTAAAATCTATCACATACGATATATTCTATAATAGAATCATAAGACACTGGAATTTAATTCTATGACTGAAGATAAACAAAAATTGCCCACCGACCATATTACGCAAAGTTCATACCAGTTATGGAGTACTGAAGATCAATAAAAAGAGAAGTTGCGATAGCTAGCAGTCACTGAGGATCCTGCGATGAATTCCGCCGAATTAAATAACCGGATAATTTTTTTCGAGTTCCGTTAACATACTTACACTGAAGACATAGATTCACGATACTCTGTATAGGATAGGTAAGGAGCTTTCGCATCCAATAGATACCTAGCACTAGCATTAAACGCTTTGTAACACATACCATGCGAAATTTTCTAATAGGATGCTTTCTGGCTTTTTTTCAGGCATAAAAATGCAACATCGGTGTCTGTGATTTTGTTTTGAGACACGTGTGCTAACTTGTAATCGATGTCCACCGTCTCGTTAACTCCTAAACTTTGCCGGTGAAACATAAAAAATTAATGCAAAATACCCTGTAGCTTTGTAACGATAAGCAATAGATAAATTGAATTATGTAAACTGAAGCATTTTGCTTTACTGTCTAATCTATAGCTAACTTTTACTTCTTGTTGTTGCAGATAAGCCACCATGGATGATCAACGTGACTCTCCAATATGCCGAAGTATACAGCGATCAAATTCCTCTACAAGTCCTGAGATAGCTCAGCAACATCCATCATATTTCCAGTTTTTCGGAATAACGCAATGAATCAAAGTAATGTGTGACAATGGCTTCAGCGATTTCGAGGTGGTCGGTCATTGCAAAATCAAGACCAGCCATGTCAGGGAGTCCATCTACCGTCACAACCATCGTCAGGGAGACCATCAACAATTAAACTCATCGGTCACACAGGAATCCATCTAAAATGACAGGCACATCACCACGAGACAGATCATGAAGCGCACAGGTATGGCAGAGGGTTATTGAAAAGATTAACCACGAGACAGGTCATGAAGCACACAGTCATGCCATCTATATCAACAATAAATCAACGACTGGGATACAGAAATATTTGTACTCGATGGGTTGCACGGCTTATGACAAGGGAATGATGCAAATTAGGAAGAAATTTTGTGATCTTCTGCGAGATTTCTTTAAGAAATATCCAGAATACTTTTAAGATTTTTTATTATCTCGTATGATTAGACCTGGCTGTTTCATTTTTATTCTCGAAGTAAAAGGCAGTGGCGGGAATGGACGTGCATTCTTGTCATAGAAACAAAGATAACTACAGATAAGTGAGCAAATAAATTATACATTGACTGATATTTCCAAAGGAACGATGCTTCTACCCAGAAATGTTTTCCTAGCTTTTATTATAACTCAGTTGCAGTGGACTGAGCGTTATGTTTCTAACGGCCTTCCTACGTTCAAGTAATATTGTTCGTTGCTTTTACCAGCATTTGGTCATTTTAATCTGGGACTTTCTGAATATTTAACGATTGCAACTGTACTGTATCTCTAAAATTTGCTTAGATTTGAATTCATGTTATACAAACCATAGAATGGAGGAGTAGCCTTTAAAATCAATGAATAATAGTAGGATATAAAAAATGTTTGACAGTGAGCTTACAAATTGTTTCCTGACAGAAGACAAAATACAATTTCTGACAGAAGACTAAATACAATTTCTGACAGAAGACAAAATACAATTTCTGATAGAATACATTGTAATTCCAAATTGTTGAAAAAGAAAACAAAATTCTTTATACATTTATTGCCATTCTTCGACAGTCGTCTACAGATTTAGTTAAATATTATTTAACTGAAGGACAGCAAATTAGGTCCAGGTGAAATGTCTTCTCAGCTTGACTATAAAAATCATATTTTATTGTTAATGTGATATTCTTTTCCGAGTAAGAGATGGTGGAGAAACGAAACCTTTTCTGGCTCGAAACATTCTCAACGATATATGGGATTTTATAGCAGTAATGATTGATAGATCTGTTTAAGTTACATTTTATACAGCTTACCTTTTAATCCTTAAGAAAGTTTGGAATGAGTTTAGAACACAAAACATGATGTTAAATAGTTAAATTAATAAGAAATACCTATAGATGTCTCTAGCCATCCCAAAATCAGCTATTTTTACCACTCTATTTGCATCTTTTGAAGTCAAAAGGCAATTCCTTGCAGCTATGTCTCTGAAAAAAATATAGTCATGGCTTATTTAACAAAACAAATTTCACACAGTTAGTTTTAAAACATTTATTTTTTTTTTGCTTAATCTGCATTTTCTTAAAAATTTTTTAAAAAAATTTAAAAAAAAAAAAAAAAAAAACATAAATTTTGCATTTTAAAAGCTTTTAAACGACGATGACTTAAAATTTTTATGACATTATATTGCAAACTGTAAAAAATATAGTTTCTGAAAGTTAAGAGCAAATTACAAAATTTTATATCTAAGTATTTTAGACACAGCAAAATTTATTTAAATATGTTTATTAATTTTATTTAAAATTTTAATAACTATAGCAAACAGTTTTGAAGCAATTATGCTTCTTTCTTTCTCTCATCATAAGCCTTTGAATTTCACTACATATGAACACAGGACAGAAATATTTGTAACGAAAATCCACTTGAACTCGAATGCGAGATAATCGGTTTTCACAATTGAATAAACTGATATTACTACTTCCTATATTGATAGTGATTAAGCAGTCAAATTGATTATTTTTTAACGTTGCATGAAATTCTTTTGTGGCTGATTTTCAGCCTTACAATGTCCTTGTTTTACCCGGAATTCGAACTCCAGCTACTATTAATTATTTTCATTAATTATGAAGCATTCAAATTATATATATAAATGGAAGAGTAAGCAAAAAGAAGGAAATTAAAAAAGAATAACTTTTACCTTACCTATGGATAAAATGATTCTCTTCCAAATACTGGCAACCTGTCGCCACATCCATAGCGAGCAGCAACAGGTCAGTGACCGTCAATGAGGATGGTTTGTTCTAAAACAAATATTGAAGAATGTATAGCAAATTTCGATACTAGAACTTTCAATTCTACACAGAATTATGAACTCGTAAATTTACTGTAAACAAAGGATCTTACGAAATTTGGGAATTGAAAGTTTCAAATCGTGCCAAGCTGCTAATAGCACAACGAATGAAAATGATAAATATATTTTTTTTCGTTATTATTATATTCGGTTCTTTTTTCGTTATAAGTATCTTACTATCGTTTTCTTTAAAATATAGTAAACAGAAAAGAATGCAGGGTAATTTTTTGTTCTATTCTTGCGCGGTTGATATTTATTGTTACAGATTCAGAGATTGGATAATGAGATTAAGTAAGATTTTATTGAAATTCCAGATGGTAACCTGGATTTTTAAATCTTAAACGGCCAGGAAAATTAATTTATTTATGATCGGCAACCAGAACTATAAACAAATTTCGCTTTCAGGAGATTTAACTTGAGAAATTTTCAATGATTTTGTGGTTACCATGGATTAATTCAAAAGAAATGTTCACATGAAAGGCTAATAATAAAACGTGCGATCTACAAAATAAATAAATAAATGAAAATCATAATAATAATGGACAGCCTATGAGGAGACTTCATAGAAAGGAAAATTTTCAATTAGCAATTCCTTGCTTCTGAGGACAATGTTAGGTAGAATTAGTATTTGAAATACTAAGAATATTTCTATTATAATTAAGTTGATCGGCAGACCCATAGCCTATTTCTTTTATCATAAATATATTCTCCTTTTGGGTTTCAGCACTTCCCATTATTTTTTCTAAGAACTCTTCTTCGGGGAGGGGGAACTACTTGGAAAGAAAATTCTTAAAACATATATTGTATTCCTTACGTTTGCTGTTGTTGCTTATGCTCACTTGTCTGACGTAGTTAGCCCCCGAAACTCCTCCTGGCAAGGAGCGCTAGATTACGCCTGTCGTTGGCAACAGTTTTGAGCACCTAGCAGGTGACTGTGTGATTTTGCTCACTTCTGCCTCCAATTTTGATGCAGAGCGCTTGAGGGGGGAAGGGTCTCCCATCACTCTACCCTTTCCAACAAACCACATGGGAGGACTTTCTGCTCGCCGCATAATGCGTAATTACCAAATTCCCGTGGTCAAAGTGACAAGGACAGCAGCTCAGCACCAGTGGCAATGGGAATGGGACTCTACCGAACAAAGCAGGAAGACCTATGAATATTACCATAAAGTTTCGCTCGATCGTCTCGAGTCATCCCCAATAACGAGATATGTGACGGGGCACGGGCCTTTCCCCTCCTATTACTATGAGAGAGGAATTGCAAATACCGAAAGTTGTTTCTGTGGAAGCATTGGTAAACCAAATCATTACTTGACCCAATGCCCTCTAACCGCACAGTGGCATGTGCAGCTTCAGGAGCAGGCAACTTCTCATAAGCGTTATCTGATCAAACAGCCAGCATTTCGCATCCTGTCAATCTCTCTTCTCTCTCTCTCTCTTCTATCTTTTTTTTTATTTTTATTTATTTATTTATTTATTATTATTATTTTTATTGTATATATTATGAAACTGTATGTACTATGACCACTGTATATATATGGAACATGTATGTACTATGACCAATGAAAATTATTATGAACTACTATGTATGTATTATGTAACAGGCTCAATATATTATGAACTATGTAAGCAAGTTTAACTATGTAACCCACTATGTATTATGTAACAGGCTCAATATATTGAAACAGTATGTACTATGGCCATGAATTATTATGAACTATATGAATGTATTACTGCTAATGATGTAATGGCAATGAATATTATGAATGTATATGTCATGTACAATATATGTATGTACTATGGCCAATGAAAATTATTATGAACTATATGAATTGTATTATGTAACATCTCAATATATTATGAAACATGTATGTACTATGGCCAATGAAAATTATTATGAACTATATGTATGTATTATGTAGCAGGCTCATATATATGAACTATAAGCCACTATGTACTATAGCAGTATTGAACTACGTATGTAAGGCATGTATATGTATGAACTATGTAAGCAAGTATTATGAAACATCTATGTATTATGAACTACTTGTATATAAGCATGTACTATGAACTATGTAACTATGTAAGCATATATTATGAACTATGTAACTATGTAAGCATGTATACAGAACCAATGTATGCCCTTATAGGCCCCATGAGGTGTTGCCCCGGATAGTTACGTAACCTGGACTAGACCCGAATAGTCTTAGTAACCGAACGGGTGTCCAGATTCTGCTCTCAACTCAACTCAACTCAGAGTTCCGCCATTCCCCACCGACATTATAGATTTACAAGCATCCATGCCTTGTCCGGGATTCGAACCCGAGCCCTTCGGCCCGGCAGTCAGCGACTCTAACTACTATACCGGTTGAGTGGCTTATTGCAGTACGGAATAGCGATACAAGCTAACAAGGAGTACGAATAGCGATACAAGCTAACAAGAAGGTCAAAGGAAAATCTGCTACCAAAAATCCAATCTAACCGCACTCTTCTGCACACATGAGTATTCCTGAATTCATCATTCATCATTCAAGATGTACCTGTATTTATATCCAACAGAACTGCCTTACACTAACAGTGTGCTCCAGCTTTCATGTGACTTCATCTACTCCATTTATCTTTTTGTGCCTTAATGACTATGTGGATGGTACCTGTTTTTTGTGCTCTCTGTTTATGCATTTACGCAGTTGTGCTTTGTGTTTGTTGCCTATGCATTTTATGTCTTTTTATGCGTACGTCTTATATCCAAGTATTTTTTTAGTTTAACTACCTACTATCTGTAACACCACAGCTCTCCTCTTCAAACTGTAATATAATCCTACTAATGCCTTGTAAGGCCATGTAATTCCCTTTGACACCCTTAATAATCCTGGTGCAGCCTCGTGTGGTTCCAGGAAGCTTTTGCCGTAGTTAGAGGAGGGCTTGGAACACATGCCTGTTTACCTCTGTTAGACAACAGGCGTTCCAGTCCTCCGTAACCTACCTACCTGCCTACTAAAATGAGGCCTCTAATGAAGTCGAATACAAAGTTTGGCTAATAAAAATCACGTGATTGCTTTGATATAAAAAAAATGAAAGAAAATTGTTAATTTATCTTCATTTACTTTTGCATGACGATGTAGGAAATCAGGATGACTTGGGAAATGATGATCATAGGATAATTCGATTTGGGCTGGACTGGAAAAAAGGCTGAATGAGGCATCACTGTATTGTTTTGTTCTGTATTTAGTTGGTAAGAAAATGAAAACTCGCAAAACTTCTGGCCGTTTACAGATAAAACCATGACTGATAGACAGATTGATAAAATTAGAAGTCATAATTCCAAATGGCAATATTTTTGGCAGGGAGAATAAATGCCAAAAATAAAAGTCACACGAGTACCTCTAACGTATGTGCAGTAGTTACAGTATAATATTTAATACCTTAGAGAAACTAAGATTCCATAATCAGGAATTAAAACTAGGATGCTATTATATCTCATTCCTAAGTCAACCTGAATATTCAATTAGTACTTAACAGGGTACTTACTGGTTTGGGTCTGTGCTCTCTAAGGAATAACTTCAGGTCACCACCGGGTAAGAGTTCTAAAACTATAAATCGGGGCAACTTCTCGAAGCAGACACCGATGAAGCTGACGATATTCGGGTGGTTGAACTTGCTGCTCAGATAAAAATAAACGGTTATGAGAATAACAAGAAGATATTTTACTTCGCTTTAATATAAGAACTTACTAATCTAAGGAAAAAAAAAAACTAAATAATTTTGTTTGACATGAGAAATGAGGTCTTTCCCAACGGATTGAAAGATTTTTGTTTTGCAAGATAAGATCTTTAATTTAGTATTTCTTCTTAGTGTAAATTTCATTCTTTATTTTAAATAACCCATTTCTTTTATAACTTAAAACATTCATTCACAACAAAATTCAATAGCGTATCACGTTACTTTCCAAGGAACAATAAGAAAATTCGTCGATAAATTGGTCAAAATTCTTTCACTGTGTAAGGATCTTAAGTTTTACTAACGTTTATTTTATTTTAAATCTTTACTATCACTTCTTATTTTCTACTTCCGGCCAGAATTATAAGCGTTAACGTATTTATGCAAAATTTGTCTGACGAACGCCAAGTACTTAAGTTGTGGCTTTTTGCCAAGCAAGAGAGAGGAAGGAGTTAGTAGAAGCAGGCCGCTTGCCTTAGCAGTTTTACTCGGTTGCTGGTTGCCTTCCAGGCCAGAGGTTTAATCCTCTTGATAATTTTAAACGTATAGTAGTGTTAACAGTTCTCTGTACTACATACGGCTTCCTGTTAATATACGGCCAATCTTCCACGTAGGCCTTGTTTATTATTCCAAAGTTAGTTAGAGTTTAGTTAATATTTTTATATTCTTACGTTTAGACCACAAGTGGTTGGTCTCTGTATTCCGAAGTCCGGAAATTATTGTAAAGAGTGAAAAATAAAGGGTTTCGTATACCCTTCCTGTTTATCTTGTCTACTTCCCACATTTATTGAACATAGCTTTAGTAAGCTCCCTGTTCCGAGTCAGGTTCTTGAATGTTCCCCAAGCAAGTAAGGCGGAACATTGAACCTGATAACTGTAGATACATTTATTTTTGCAACAAAATTTTAAGCTCCACATTTCCCTTTCATTTTTTATTTGCTATATTTAATTTTCAATTTCGCTTATTAAAATAATTTTTAAGATTTCTACTTTCCAGTTTTAGACTTTAATTTATTAATCTTTTTTATACGGCACAAGTTGCAGTCAGTCTATCAAGAATTCTTTAACTGGGCAGAAATTAGGCTAGAAATTGGCTAGAAGACAGTTCAGGCAAAGTCTGCATAAAACAAAAGTTTGCTCTGAGTAGAAATTCAAAAACTAAATACAATTTAGTTAGTTTATTACTATAAATGAAATTCGTTTAGATATATATTACTGATTTTATTTCTTATAATCCTTTCAGAAATCTTAACTTTCAAAAATGAAATTGTTATCATGCTATAGGTACTAAAAGCAAATAATAATTCAAATCAAAATGGTGAGAAAGATTCTGTTTAGCTAATGCTAAAATATAACTTACATGAAATTATCATCGTAAATTCTCTTCTTATTTCAAATTTAAATTATATTTCGAGTTCATTTTAATCCTTGAACCCCACAAATCATGAAAAAGGATTTCAGATTCGGAAATTATAATATTTGCGTTTTTTTTTTTTTTTTAGGCCAACGAGCGTTAGTCCAGAAGGGCTATTAATTTCGTTTTGGCATTTTGCGTCGAAACCTTTAAAAGTCTGAACCAATTTTCAAATTATTGCCATCAAATATTATCGCCCTGCATTACATTTAAAGAAGTTAAATAATGAAGAATCTGGATAAATATATGTATGTTTGTCGCATTGTGATAACACAACGGTACGTAGAGCCCTCCAATTTTGTATAACGTACGTCTCCACCCGAATATCAGCATCTCGAGACCCAAATTTGGAATTTGTTTTATTACCTTTTTCATATTTTATAAAACTTTAACGAAATTTTGATTAAGAAACTGAACGATTTTAATGGAAGAATGGCAACACTCTAGGGGGAAAAACATTTTTATCTCCACCGCGCGTGATTGTCTATCGGAAATTCTAAAAATATGCTCTTTTTAAATTATTTTGCGATATTGCTATTGAACTGAATTTTATGGTTTAATGGCGAAGAACATGATATTTAATAAATAAAGGTAGCATACAAAACGTTAAAAAACGCTCCTTCGTGAGTAATATAAAATCTGAAAGCTTGCGGATTTTTTTTTAATCTTTTGAACTTTAACTAAAAAAATAAACTGATAATAGCTTTGACCGAGAAATTTTGGAAATATTAAGTTATCGATATCCAGTAGAGATGTTCATCAAAATAGATTGCGACTATTATCAGTGGTTCTTAGACAGCTATTAGAACTTCGTGCCAATCTTATTTTTTTTTAGGAGAGAATTAAGTGTTTCATGTTAGTATTTATCTTTATTAATCCTTCAAATAATCAACTCTCTGTATCATCAGTTTCTAGAATCATTCTACACCGCTTTGATGAAGAAACATTCTGGAAATTTATAAAATCTTTTTACAGTTACTCAAATAATTTTAGTTAAATTATATTCAGAAATTAGATGAAAGATTAAGAAAACTAATGTTCCCCCTTTATAAAATTTCATTTGCAAATTTATATTGCTAATTAAAATATTAGGCGTATTTTTAAAAATCGTATTCTTAAGTTTGTTTTTCATTAAAATTGAGCTCAGTTCAGATTTTCAATTTAGCTTTCATTAAACACTTTAAATAAAATTTTCTTCTTTTTTTCTTTTTTGTTCTTATTATTCATATAAGAAGAACTTGAGAAATACGAAATTTGAAAGAACCTTTAGCGTTTCGTTTCGAGCAAGTTTAGGATGCTTCTCGTAACTAGTTTAAAGTATGTTGAGGTGCTCACAAGTATCCAAAACCCTTTTAAGACTTTACAGCCTAGTAAAATTGATTGTTATAGAAGTTTTCCTTACCTCATGATAAGAGCTTCCATTAGAAAATCCAATACAGCTTGGCTAGAAGACAGTTCAGGCAAAGTCTGCATAAAACAAAAGTTTGCTCTGAGTAGAAATTCAAAAACTAAATACAATTTATTAAGGCAGAAGTTTAAGATCTGATCACTTTCTGTAATATCCATGAGAAACGTTTTTAGCATACTTAATATTTTGTGAGATCCGTTTTATCAAAGCAAGAAAAGATAACGCCTTTGGAAAAGTAGCCAACTGTAGCTGTTACAGACTTTAGCAAAAGTTATAACATGGAATTCTATTTTAGTAATTTCCATTTATTTATAAAGGAATATATCATAATAAAACATCAACCGTCTTATACCAGACAATAACTATAGATTTTGTTATATAGCAAGAGCGTGATAGAAATCTAAATCAAGGACAAAGATTATTAAAATCGGTATTCATATAGTATTGATAAAACTTAATTGTTCTCATTCTATTAAATATTATTGTATCTCTTTCAGAATTAAGTAAATTTCTGTTTAACATAATTATTCTTTCCTAGAGTTTGGCCTTTTTTCCAATTCGTCGCTGATAAGACAAATGAATTCATTGAAAACTTAAAGGTTTGTACCTGTTATTGTTACTTATGCTCACTTGTCTGAGAGCAACATCAGCCTAAGCGCACGAAGTTCCTCGTGGCAAAGAACGCTCAAGATACGCCTGATACGCTCAAGATACGGCAACAGCCTTGAGCACCATACAGGTGACAATGTAATTTTGCTCAGTTCCACCTCCAATTTTGATGGAGATCACCCCGGGAACGTGTCAGGGGTCTCCCACACCTCTTCCTTTCCACTAAACCACACGAGAGGAATTTCGGCTCGCCGCATATCGAATGCCACCCTGCCGCACCGACACTATACATTTACAAACATCCATGCCTTGTCCGGGATTCGAACCCAGGCCCTTCGACACAGCAGTCACCGACACTAATCACTATACCAGTTGACGTCCGGTTTTGTATCTCACCAACTGTGCCTTTACTAACATGGTAATTTTTAAGAAATATTAGAAGAAAACAAAAACCTTGATCAGAACAACTTAAAATATATTTTCCTATAATTTTACAGTGTTACAATTAAATTATAAGAAAATACATATTAAGCATATACTCTTGATTAGTAGTTGAGGTTGATATCAATTTACGCATTGGGTACTCGAATCTCCTATAAGGCACGATTTTTAATGATTGTAGCTTCCCATCTGCTGCTTTGTTGCAGGTGCAATATCGATTTATATTCTGCAATTCATAGTTCTATAATACAGTATGCACAGTAAGCAGATGATGAAATGGACCTAAGTTTATCCACTTTGTAATGAATGCTTAGCGAGCAAGTCTATGACCGTTGGATAAGAAAGCTTATGCGTTTTATAAAAAATGATTTGAAAACATTTCTCGCGTATACAAGTACATGACTTGATCGCAAAAGAAAAGTATTTCTTTTTTTGAATAATACATTATGACAAGTCTTGAAGACAAATCGCCGGTGTATTATATATCGTGCAGGAAAATTACAATCATCAAAAGTGAAATTGAAACATCCGAAAGAATTAGACACAGCCATTTGAAAATCGCGAGAGTGATAGTGATAAGAGAGCTTTATTTTCTAATGAGTTACACTACGTACGCAACAAGTACATTGGGTGTGCAAAACGTAAGCAACAGCACGGTTTTTTGCCGTAACTCCACGAGAAATAAACTGAGACACAAGAAATGCAGAAATGAAGGAAAGTATTATGTACGTAAAGGATGACGAAAGCATCGGAGCTGAAAATGAATACAATGTATACGGTATGGAATCAAACAGAAACAAGCTTTATTGAATGCATAGTGTCGTGACTCATGATTGTCTTCCAAGAGGAAGAACAACAAGCAGATGTTCCTTAATATGGGATATGCCCTCCCCTCACTGCAATGGTTGCTTCGCACCGTCTCCGCATACTCAGAACCAGTTGCTGCAACATTTCTTGCGGTACGAGTGCCCATTCCTCAATCAGCATCTGTTTAAGTTGTTAGGTGTTCTCCGGAGGATGTAAGCGTGCTGCAATGCGTCTCCCCAAAGCATCCTACACATGTTCGATAGGATTTAAATCTGGGGAGTACGCTAGCCAATCCATTCGAGTGATATCTTCACTTTCCAGTAGCTCCTCAACAGCAAGAGTCCGCGGTGGCCGTGCATTGTCATCCATAAAAATTAAGTCTGGGCCAATGGCACATCGGAACAGACGCACATGGGGAAGGAGTACCTCCTCACAATAGTGATCCCGGTTACAGACCCTCTGTCGAAAACGTGGAGCTCAGTTCGCCCGTTCAGCATAATGCCTCCCCAGACAAGAACTCCAGGACCACCGTTACGATGTCTTTCCTTGATGTTACTGGGATAAAACCGGGTCCCAACCTCTCTCCAAATCAAAACGCGTTGAGAATCGCTTCTGGTACTGAACCGACTCTCATCCGTAAAGAGGACACGACTCCAATGATCAGTTGTCCAGTTTTTGTGCTCTCTGCACCACTGTAAACGGTGGCGTCGGTGGCCAACTTTCAACGGGAGGCAGCGTTCAGGACGGCGGGCGAATAGGCCCCCCTTTGTGAAGGCGTCTGGCCACAGTAAACCACGACACTTGTCGCCCGTTGCTGTACAGAGTTGCTGAGCAATGGCGCTTGCTGACTGGTGTTCGGCCTCTTTTCGCCTGCAGGACGATATATCGGTCATCCTATTGCAGTTATCGTTCCTCGAGGCGGCCACCATCCAACCTTTTCTAACAGAATGCTTTGAAACCTATGCTTAACCTATGCTTTGAACGGCTTTCCAAGCGCACGAAACGACACTTTTGTTGATTCCGAACTCTGCAGCTACACTGGTGACAGTACGCCTCTCCTCCAGCTTTCCGATCATTCGTCCACATGTGAAGTCGTCCAGGTGATTTCTTCTAGCCATATTTCATCAACTGACTCACTGGTACTTGCAGCGAATATGTTGAATTGCGTCTCCATCCTTCCTTTTTTCCTTCCTGTTGAGTTGCACACGCGCCCCGACATTGCGCGTTTTGTGTACGCTCACGTCGCCTCTGACGTTTCGTTCCTGATATTTGCATACGCATGACATTTCTACTGACTTATGTGTTCATTGTACTGATCTCCAGACCTCCTTTTCTGCAATTTCATGGCTATCTGCTAAATTTTTACATTGTTGCTTAAGTTTTGCACGCCAGTGTATGTGAAATGCAGGGTTGAGCTCTAAGGGGCAGCAACCTGTTGGTATTCATTTGCTAGTAGGAACAGATCACAGCAAGATTTTCCATCTAGCATAGGCAATGCGTCATGGATAACATCGAGCTGAATACCATCCGTTACAACCCTAAAATAACTTTTTTTTCTGACGCTATAGGATCTTGTCAATGCACGTAGTTGCTTAGCGTATGTGCCATAACATACGTACCGTCCAGGGAAATGTGTCATGGTACACGTCTTCAAACTCAAGGGATAACAGAGCATGAAGTTTCGTCACAAAGGGCATAGATGGATAACTGCCTCTTATTAGAAACTATTTGCTACGTAACAGCGTATGTGATATCCATAACGCTGGCATCTTTATCGGAAGCATCTATTTGCTTCATATAAAGGAATCGCATAAAGCTTTCCATAAATCCTTACCTTTATGGATAACAAGCAGAGGGAACACATCGATAGTTCAGAAAGGACTATATTACTTGCAATTACTTATAATGCCTAAATACAGTCTTCTACTTTGTCAATCACTTTTCGCCAAATTATGGAAGAACTTCGTACACCATCTGAACACCCATTTCAGTAAATGCTGGAAGTGACCGCCCCTAAACCATGAGAAAACCTGATCGTTGTCATGGATGCTTCGCAGTGTTTCTTTCATTTTGGTGAAAAGATCATAGTTACTAGAACGCAAATCGGCCGAGTATGACGAACGTTCCAGCACTTTGCATCACAACATTTGTAGGAAATCTATGACGGCGCTCACATTATGAGACCGAGCAATGTCCCAATCAATTGTATGTATTATATTTTGCTAGCAAGAGTTGGTTACATGCTTTTAATTTATAATATAAGACATATATAAATAAAAGTGATATTTAAAATTTTATTTAAATATAAGATATGGATAAATGAAAGAAAATTTATATTATTTTTAATGTAAACTGGATTGCATTTATTTTAGTGTTTGTTTTGGATTACGTTTATTTTGGTGTTCAGTTTAAATCTCTGAATAGTCAATGTCTCTTAGGTACTAGAAGGTTTCTTTGATTTTATAGGCCATTTAAAAAATCCTAAAAAGTCGAAAAATAAGAGAATTTAAAAACGTTACATAGGTAAATCATTGACAGACCATGCCTGTTCGCTTTTTTTTTAACAGAGACAGAATAATTTGAATAGTGGAACGAATAAGACGTCAGTGAATTAATAAACCCAGAATAGTGGCAATGGATTAAACGTTATTATACAAGCAAGTATTCGACACCACACGGTATAACATTTTGTTTGCTAATGATAACGCTAACGACTTCAAAGGAAACCTGTCCGAATGTATGAATGACACCCGCCAGCAAATCTCATTTTTCAGCTCGAACAAAGTAGAAAAACATGTCAAAATTTCAAATGTGCCACATAGTTGGGAGTCCGTTGGAATCAAATCTGGAGACTCAGGAGACCATGGAAGCCTGCAGTGCTTGCTAATGACGTCTTTTGAAGGATGTTTTGGCGGGAATCGCAGTGTGACTAATTTCCTCCCAAAACACAAGCATGTCTTTCACTGTACAGCACATCTCTTCGCCGCAAAAACCGCACCACTGGTAGCACAGAAACGTTTAACAACACTCTGCATTTATTGCGCAAATTTTCCACCCATTTACTGGACGCTGCTTTTTAAAAAATGTACCCTAAAATGAAAGAATCCTTGAACGTTTACAGTGCTGTTGCGTTTGGGGAATGCAGTTGCTTCTGCTTGTACTCACAGAAATAAAGTATTGCTCAGGTGCAACAGTTATGCCT